TGTACATGGATTTACTAAGTGTAGCTTAGATGTGGCACCAGGCCGAAATTATGGTTCACTCAGTGAGGATCGAACTCGCTACTCAGTCATAATCGATCTAGTGAGACAAGCTAGAAAACCATTACAGCACGTCAAGGTGTCCTTATGATTTTTTTCTTTTCACACAGTGAGGATCGAATTCACTACTGAGTAGTTAGTTCGATCCTAAGTAATTGATCTAGCGAAACAAGCTTGCTAACAATTACGCATCGTTGTGTGTGTATATGTGTATAATGATACGTGAGCCTATATAATGTATATATATGCGCACAAACGCACATAGATACATGTGCAGATGTTTATGTATGTACGTTTGTTTTTATGTTTGCAAGCATTTGCTCTAACAATGGATGATACAATTTATAGCCCTTAATAAAATCTTTTAATATTTTCTTTTTGGTAAGTGAAACTGATCAAGTGTTTTTAACAGGTAAAATAAAAAAATATTTTCTTTTTATAATGTTAAAAAGTACATTTTTCTACATCCCGTTATCTTCCGCCCACAACTCCTTTCCGCGCGCGATATGTTAATCTAAACGTCGCATGCGCAATGCCTGTCAATAAACATAGGTTTGTCTGAAACATTCAGGCCTGTAAAAGCCATTCAAATCCTCAAGATCAAAGAGCGGCCGGTAGGAAACACGTAACGAGGCAAAAAGAAACAAAGGATAGAGATGTACAATCAATTATGTTGGCTTTGAATAAACAATCAACGGAAGTTTGTGTGTTAATCTAAAATTGCACATTTAATATCGTCTTTGATTAACATTATTATTTTATTGATGCTCTGAAAAACAAGAAACTTCAATGAATTAATTCGAATTCCGCCTACCAATTTGTTATGGCCATTTCTTCACACCTCAGTGAATAATGGTTGCTTTTCGTTATTAACAGATGCAAAATGAAGAAATATATTTCTCTGATGTTTTTGCTTCGTTTAACTTCATACAATCAGCTGAAATGTCTCCGCCATTTGTCACAAGAGAATAATAACTTACAGTGTTTTTTTAAATGCCTCCTTGAGGAAGAAAAATAAAGAAAAGAAATAAATAGTCCAATGTTGTAAATGTTCAATTCTTTCTACTTGTGCCGTGTTCCTTCAAGGCGTAGGCGATCATAGCCCTTCACATCTTCCTGTTTCTTGTAGCTCTTAATACCTTTTTGTTATTTCACCCAAACTCTGTCCCGCTACCCATTTACTCAAGACTCTCAAGTAAGTTACGCACTACTTTCCTCTTTTCCCCAGTCCATCCCGTGAGTATCAGATTTTCCAAGCCCCCTTTCCTCATTACGTGCCCCTGAAATTTCAACTGTCACTTCCTGATGTTAAACATAAGATTCTTTTTTGTTTCCATTCTCTCCAAAACCTCGTTGTTGCTCACACGTTCGGTCTTAAATTGGATTATAAGTTAACTACACGTATAGGGTCTTCTCCGTCATCTTTTTTTTATTTTTTATGTCAACCCCGCCCCTGTGAAGTCGAGGGCCACAGCCTCCCTACGCTATATGTTGGTGTTGTGGTTCCGTGTGAAGTTGTTAACCTTACAGCAAACCGGTTTTGAATTCATTGTCTTTAATTGTCTTTATCCTAGAGTGGTTGCCAGACAAAGCTAGATTATCCGATTTGCCCTGCTATTTAATCCCTAGGTAGGGAGAGATTGTGCCATGCTTTTCCAGGGATATTTCTGCGAACGGGAACACAACCTCCTCCTCTGGAATTGAATTCGACACGGCAATCTTAATTTCCGTGCTAATATTTTTTCCGTCTTTTTGTTTGTTTATTTATTTATTTATTTTTTTTTTTTTTTTTTAAGCATTTCACCCCAAGCAAGGCGGGGAGCCACTAGGACGCAAGGGGTTACAGAAAATTTAGAGCAAGATCAGATAGGAGTGATAGAGGAAAGGATGAGGAGAAGGGTAGTGGATAGATCAAGGCAACTGGAGATGTCGATTGACATTACACTTGAATAGCTGGAGATTATAGCTCTCGTGGAAACTGGAATAGGGAAGGGAGTTCCACAGGCGAGAGGTGCGAGACATGAAGCTATTGGAGTAGAAGAGACGGCTACATTTAGGAGTTTCGACAGTGAAGGGGTGAGAGCGTGATGCCAGCCTCGTAGGGCGTTTGAACTCATGAAGTCTGGGAACCAGCGAATGCAGCTCCTCGGAGCAATTTCCATCAAAGTATTTGTAGAACAGAGGGAGGCGACGGCGCGACTGTGAGAAAGTGACTGTAGACGAGATGCCAGAGCAAGGCCAACTTGCCATTAGTCTAGTATCAGCCATGGCGGGTAGGAAAATTTCTCTATGATGTTTAAATGAGGAAAATCTTTCTTTCTCGATTTGTTTAACCTCCCCACCCCCACGCATAAGCCGCCCGGACAAGAGCAGGGAAGAGTTGGATATGAAAGCCGAAAGAGAATTTCTCTTCCTAAGCGACACCAAGTTGCCAAAAGACGGGACGTTTCACATACAAGTTCGTGTGTGATGGTACTCCGATGTGGTGTAACGTAAGCTTGTCTTGTTAGATCATTTACGGCTGAGTAATGAGTTCGATCCACACTGGGTGCTCTATACTTTCGGCCTTGTGACACACGTAAGTTATGCTTAGTAAATCGTTGTAACTTGGGCACTTCGACCAAACTTGTCTTACTAGATCAATTACGACAGAGTAGTGAGTTTGATTCTCGTTGGGTACCTCACACTTTCGGTCTTGTGCCACATCTTAGCTACGCTTCGAAAATAATGTTTTTAATTAATTTGCTTAGAGTTCGAATTCCAGTTGAGTTCATTACGATACACCCAAATACCCTTGGGAATGTATGAATCTGTCTCTAATCCCCACTCCCACCAATAGCAGGACATGTTGGGATCTGTAGCCTTGGTTGGCAATCAGTCTACCGCAAAAAGAGACGGCAGCCTACTGCGAGAATATCTTCTGCTTAGTCATCAGAAGAGACATGGCCGCCGAAGCATGCATCACGTATGACACTTAACTGACTTATTTAAGAAATAAACTAAATTGCCCGTAATAAGAATAGTTTTCCCTCGCTTTTTTCTTTTCTTTTTTTTTAGGTGGGGTATGGGACAACGCAACTTTTACTAATTAAATATTAAGTTAAAATGAATAGGGAACGGCGGATATATAATTAACTATTACTAGTTAAATGTATGTACTCGAATCTCACGTGCTCCTAGTTTAACTCTATACTTCTAAAATCTCCACCTACACTTCCAGATATTTTTTTTTACTATTTCTTTTTTTTTTCTCAAAAGGCGTAGATAGGTACGCATATCGCCTTCCTCGTCTTTTAAACTGGAGTAGAGGTTTAACCCTTGTTTCCTGTTTAGTTTGGGATTTCCGGTTCCCTTCTCTGAATTAACATGGAACCAATTCACTATCTTTCCCCAAAATGACAATTCATAGATAATAAAGAACAGGAAACTGTGGAGAGACATGATCGTCTACGTCCTGAAGTGACTTCTTCCTCTTTTATGTGCCATGCCCTTCAGGTCGTTGGCGATCATGTCTCTCCACAATTTCCTGTCCTTTGTATGTCTTAGTAAATATTGTATTCTACTTACCTCACTTAAACCCTGTTCCGCCATCCATTTACTCGACAGGTAGCTTATTGTTTACCTCTGTCTCTCTTGCCTTCAATCTGCCCTGTGAATATCAAATTTTATAAGTCCTCTTTCCTCATTCTGCGACCTAAGAATTCCAACTGTCTCTTATTGATGTTAAGTATAAGTATTCTTTTTGGCTCTAAAACTTCGACGTTGCTCACATTTTCGACCCATCCTATTCTCAGCCTCCTGTAAAACTACATTGTGTTGTCATCTGTGAGGAGATTGCCCTATATTCAGTGTCATATCGGATGACGAATATACAGATTATTCTCTTTAGAGTTCTCATAGTGTATAAGGATATTATACCAAGAAATTCTATCGTCCTTACTGTTTATTTTGAACGTCAAACAAAAACTGGCGTAAGCCCGATTTCAATCGTTTTTCTCTCTCCTAACGACTAGATCCTTTAACGCACCTCTGATAATGACAATGATATTTAGTTCACCTGTGAGAATTCTTATGGTAGGTCATCTGTTTTTTTTTTCGTTCAATTTTTTTTTACTATTGAAATGCTAGTTTTTTTGTCCTTTCATTTTAGCAGTGTTCCAGGCGTTAAAACCAATGCCCTTACACTTTTTGAGTTCTTACATATTTTTTTTTCAGTCTCTGCTTTGATGAGGAATTTTAGATTGTATTTATAAAGAAACCAATAAATCTGACGCTGAAGCTGAAGAAATCTCAGATTAATCAACAGGCTGTTATCATCTGTATCATCTTTTGAACATTAAATTCACGAAAATGAAATTTTCTGTACGGTACTTTTGTATTCTTCTTTTTTATGTGCCGTATCATTTGAGGACCTCAGCGATCATGGCTCTCCACAACTTCCTGCGCCTTGTAGCTCTTAATAAACTTTGTTTTGTTATTTCTCCTAAGCTCTATTCCGTCATGTATTTACGCATTATGCGTTGTCTTCCTCTGACCCTCTTGCTCTTTATCTGTCCCGTGAGTATCAGATTTTTCAAGCCCTCCTTCCTCATTATATGCCCTAGAATCCTCAACTGTCTCTTCCTGATGTTAAATATTAGTTTCTTTTTTGTTTCCATTTTCGCCAAAACTTCGTCGTTTCTCACATATTCGGTCCACGATATCCTAAGCATCCTTCATATTTGAGGAGATCATCCAGCACTCACGGCCATACAGGAGAACAGATATTACATAACAGTTTAGTATATTTGAAATAAAAAAGATTTGTCCCAATTTGAAACATTTTTAATTAAAAAATCCCTTGTTTGAAATAAATAAATAAATAAATACCTGCTGCTTTTTGTTTATAATTGTTTTTATTTTTTGTTTTTTTTCCCCCTTTTTTTTCACCAAACCCTGAACAGCCGAAGGCAAAGGATCCTCTGGCAGATACATACATGGACGTTGGGTTCTCTTTTTATCTCATACTGGCAAGAATGCATGACATTGATCCCAAAATTATCAACACATGTAAGTATTTAATTTAAGCACCTACTCTCACATTCCAGGGATGCCTGCCCACTAAAATTAAAACCTCTTCTCCAGACCAAATACAGTGTAACCCGGATATAAGAGAAACCCGGATATAGGAGAGACTTTCTCTGGTCCCAAATTACAGCCATACTTACCTAAACAAAATAGACCAAGCCGGATATAAGAGAAACCCGGATATAGGAGAGATTTTCTCTGGTCCCCCAAATAAACAAAATAGACCAAGCCAGAAACCCGGATATAGACTTTCTCTGGTCCCAAAAAGCCATACTTACCTAAAAAAAGACCAAGCCGGATATAGAGAAACCCGGATATAGGAGAGATTTTCTCTGGTCCCAAATTAGAGCCATACTTACCTAAACAAAATAGACCAAGCCGGATATAAGAGAAACCCGGATATAGGAGAGATTTTCTCTGGTCCCAAATTAGAGCCATACTTACCTAAACAAAATAGACCAAGCCGGATATAAGAGAAACCCGGATTTTCTCCGACAACTACCTAAACAAAATAGACCAAGCCGGATATAAGAGAAACCCGGATATAAGAGATTTCTTCTCCGGTCCCGACAACTCTCTTATATCCGGGTTACACTGTATCATGATCTTTAGCATCGTATAAACCAAACTAAAATAGAAAAACTGTTGCACCAGTTTTATAAATGTAGATGCTCTATCTTGAAAATCCAGATTCAAAAGCCACGATCTTTCTAGCAGCTAAGGCAGATGCGCAACTACCTTAACCACTTAAGAATATAGCACAGCCTGATAACAATCTTAACATAATTTAAACTTGAATGCGAAGATTGTGTTGCTCCAACCCTGTAAAGATATGCAATAAAGTGGGTATTCCGACAAAATAACAACGTGGAACATAGCGAGCGCCGGCGTATTCGCATACAGCCAATCTACATTGCTTAACATTGCATATTATCCGACTCCTGATTTTGTCATTTACTCCCGGCCAGTCTGTTTTATTCGGCCCCGTAAAAACCCTCAACCGAACGTCGTCCTTACATTCTCTATCTGTGACCACAGAGAAACTTAGCCTCCATTCTCGGGGCGGCTGCTTATATAACCGCGTGTTTCACAAATGTAATGATTCGTTTCTGCACACGCTGTGATGACATCCAAGGTTGGCTGTATGCGAATACGCCGGCGGTCGCTATATTCCACAGATTCGTCTTAATACTCGTCTCAACAAAGAATAAAAACAAATGCTTTTCAAGGTACTTGCTTGATCGGGAAGTAGTAAATAATTAAATAAAAATACGATGTCGCTCTTAATCGGCAATGTTTTCTTTCTGCTTCGTGAAAGCGAACTTCTGGTATCTGACTTCGCACTAAGTTCCGGTCACTGAAAACAAATCCCTACACAATGCCTGGCTGCTTCACTCATTGCTTACCCTTTTACTGACTGCCTCTTTCACTCATTGTCAGATTATATGGATACTGAGTGGCAGGTCCACTACTCCTTTTCTTTGTGTTCCTCCTACCGGAAAGGGTTAACCACTCAGATAAGGTGAGTCATCAGTCTCTCAAAGGACCTTAATTTTATGGCTACCTAAAAACACTAACAAAACTTTATATTTGATGATTCAAAGGTGAGCTGGAAACAGGATTTCTGAAAAACCTTGGTCATTAAATTGACTTAAAAATGTTATTGTAATTTAGCCACGCACGCATGGACTCTCCCAGCTATAAACAGGAGCAGGTACTGCCTTTTGGAGGGGGACGTTTCCAGCAGTCAGCTCTGATAGTCGAACCGAACACTCTTGCTGTAACACTCTCGTTTGTATATGTTTGTATTACTGTTTCTGTTAATATATTTATTTAACTCAATTCTTCTCTTTGTGTCTTTATTTTTGGGCCCCCAACAAGGCCATAACAGAAAAGGAGTAGTTTTATTCATCTTCTAATTATGTGTGAGAAATCGTATTGCTGCACAAATCTTTCTCGTGCTTGCTAAAACCAGATGCAGGTGTTAGGTCACATGCTTCTCCATTCAGCTGCGGAGAGTGACTCCAGGTCAAGCCCCTGGTGCACCCGGCTTCTTTTATGGCCTGCAACGTCTATTCTAGCATCATACTACAGATATGACTGTCATGAAAATCGGCATTCAAATTTCTGAGCCCAAACACCAGTAGTAATTATACAATGATTTCAAACAAGTAGTCGGCCGCGAAGCATAGTTTCATCCAGCACAAGGCTAAAATGTGGTGAATATTATTATACACCAATTTTATAGAGGAGGAGAGCAAACTGAACAACAAAAGCTGATGGATCTTGATGGAAATGACACTATGAACGGTACAGTATATCCTGTGTTAGATGCCAATGAAACTGATGAGTTGTAAAGATAAATACGGTGGGTACTGAGAGGAAAAATCTAAATTTTGTCTTTTTATTTTTTATACTATTGGGATGAGATGGGTCTGAAAATAAAGAATTGGCCTTGTATTTGTGGTCAGTGAGGTCAACAATTCCTTATAATTTTTTTTTTTTTTGGTATTTCAGTGCATATCACGACCCAGCAACAAAAAGCCTTTAGTTTCTACAAAAAGAATTGTTCGTCCATCGAAATCGTCAAAGACGACTGTCTCCAGAAGATCAATTTCAGAGTCAGGAATAAGGTAAGTTTAAAGATTTACCTTGAGCTCAAAGATAAGCTAGTATATCAAACGCGCTCACAAACACGCACGCACACACAAACACACACACACACATACAAACATAAACACATTATTATTATATGCGACGTCCGTCTGTCTCGAGCCACCATGGATCTGGACCCAAAAAATTATGCCTCAGCTGTTGATGGTGACGCAGAATCTGTTATGGTTGTACAGGCACACACGGGAGTGGCAGTCTCGATTGCAGTGAATACACGTAAAGACGCTCTCCCTCGATGCCGCTGTGTATTCTTTCCGTCGCGCACGCTTCTCCCTGGCGGTAACTCTCTGTTTCTCCTGTCCTCGCTCCAGCCCTAGGGGTAAATCGCTTTTCCAGCTTGAGCGATTTCTTCACATCTCTCGATGTCCATGTCCATCGCCCTCATGTCTCTTTTGCAGACGTTCTTGAAGCGAAGATGAGGTCGCCCTTGTGCCCTCTTGCCGGTAACCAGTTCACCGCATACGGTGTACATGTCCAAGCCTGAGGATATTATTATTATTTTCCACTTAATATTATCTTTATATTAATAATAATAATACATTATGATAATGACTATTATTAATAATAATAATTATTATTATTATTATTATAACATCTTTTTAAGCGGATACACACGTCAAGGCCCAGGCTAGTAGCATCCATTTGGGTCCCAACTATATACGCATATATATATATATATATATATATATATATATATATATATATATATATATATAAGTCCAACAATTAATATATTTTCTGTTTATACGTTATTTTTAGATACAATTTATTTAAAGTAAATGCTCTGTTTTTTTATTAAACAATATTAATTGCATTTACTGCCCTACATGTTCGAGAAATTTCGTAAAAAATATGCTTTCTCCGACAAGAATCGAACCTGTATTCCTGTACGAAAACCGACATTTGATCTGACGTGCTCTGCTATTTAGCTACAGAGAAATCCCTGCTTTTATAAATTATTTCAATAAAAATAACGTATAAACAGAAAATATATTAAATAATTGTCGGACTTCATTCATTTCATTATATGTTGTCATTGTTTACTTAAGATACGTTTTGTGAGCAGATATGATCGATCGAGAAAAATCGTGGAAGATTGTGTCTAAAAGCTGTAATTTGGACTTTGCTAACCAGACGCTTTTCTGTAGCTAAAAACCGTATAGCATGTCATACTATTCAGTGGGAGGGGGAAAGTGGGGAGGGCCATGAATTACAAGGAAAACACTTTTTTTTCCGAAGTTCTTCTTTCAAAATCTGTTGGGGGCGTCTAATGCGCGAAATACAGTATCTTACATAGCCCAACCAACTTTAAAAGGAAGGGAAACTCCCTGCCGTGAACCCAGCTACATGTTAACAGACTTTTCGTTACCGATCTTGGTCCCTGCTATCTTCTCATACTTTCTGATTTCATTGCAGGCATCGTCGATCGTAACAAACACGATCGCCTCGCCGGCCGAGGCTTTAGCACTAGGTAGGGTAATTTCGCGTAGGACCGGATTCGGTAGGGTAATTTCTCGTAGGACCGGATTCTCTTTTAAATTCAGAAGGAAAGATCCGGTTCAAGAGCGTAAAGCACCGGTGAAAGTAGGTAACTTAAATTAAGGGATCTGGTATACATAGATATTATTGTGGCATAAACAGTTGTTTTAGCCACACCAAGTAGATTAATGAAGGATGGTAATGGCGAGGAAACACACGGGTAATTTTAACAAGAAAAGAAAAGGAATTTGCGAATTTACACGTTCAAAGCTGTGTCAGTAGCTCGTTTCAGGAAAAGAGATTAGACATTTTTAAAATCTGTAATTTTAACGAATTGTCATGAAGAGGAAATGTTCATACAACAGATTACATGATGACACAAAATAATATTCAAAAATGTTTAACGCAATAGTAAGAGAGTTCGTTGTTCACAGAAGGGATACATGATTGCATACATTCAAAAGTAGACGAAGAAAGATAGTTTGAAATACTTAGCTTTCTTGGATTATTGAGAGAAAATCATCTGAAGTGCCGAGAATATAAGTGGCGAATAATTTTACACTGGCAAGAACTTCAACGCTGGTCGCGTGGAACTGAAACGAAATCTTTCACGTGACTTGAGACACTCTTTTTTTATTACTTTAGCATTTCTCCTCATTTCATGCCAAAAAGAATTTCGCATAGATTCGTTAATTTTTTTTCTTCTTGGCTCAATGGCTAATTT